CACTGTGCTCTTTCTGGCCCACTTTTCACTGGGTAAAATGGTCTTGAGCAATGATCCTTTCCTTTTATGTATTATTCGTAAGATTTTTTTTAATTTAATTTTTATTAGTGAAACACCATGAGATACAGTTGTAGACTTACACATTTTTGTGCTTGGGTTTCAATTATACAAAGATCGAGTACCCATCTCCCCACCAGTGCCCACTCCCCACCATCAATGATCCCAGTAACCCTCCCCCGCCCACCCCTGCAACCCATCCCACCTCTGTGGCAGGGCATTCCATTTGTTCTCTCTTACCTTTAGGGTGTTGTGGTTTGCAATAGAGGTATTGAGTGGCCATCATGTTTGGTCCATAGGCTACTCTCAGCACGCATCTCTTATCCCAATCGAATCCTCCAAACACCCTTTATTTGGTGTTCCCTTCTCTATCTGAGCTGTCTTTTCCCCCAGCATGTGATGCTGGCTTCCAAGCCATGGAGCAGACCTCCTGGTACTTACTGCAACTATTCTTGGGTGTTCGTCTCCCATTCTGTTACCTCATATTCCCCAAATGATTGCAGTCTTTCTATGTCTGTCCCTCAATTTCTGACTCATTATACTTAGCAATGATAATTTCCATGTAGAACCACTTGTATGCAGATTTCATGACTTCATCTTTTCTAACAGCTGCATAGTATTCCATTGCATAGATGTACCAAAGTTTCTTTAACCAGTCATCTGTTCTCCGACACTCAGGTTTTTTCCAGATTTTGGCTATTGTGAACAGTGCAGCAATGAACATACAAGTGCAGATGTCATTTTGACTGTACTTTTTTGCCTCTCTGGGATACATTCCCAGGAGTGGAATTGCTGGGTCAAATGGGAGCTCAATTTCTAATTTTTTGAAAATCGTCCCACCAGCAGTGGAGGGTCCCTTTCTTGCAACATCCGTGCCAACACTGGTTGCTTTTGTTCTTTTGGATGTGGGCCAGTCTCTGTGGTGTGAGGTGATATCTCTTTGTTGTTTTGATCTGCATCTCCCTGATGATTAATGATGTAGAGCATTTTCTCATGTGCCTTTTAGCCATTCTGATTTCTTTCTGGAGAAAGTTTCTGTTCATTTCATCACCCCATATTTTTTTCTTTTTGGGTCACACCCGGCGATGCTCAGGGGTCACTCCTGGCTCATGCACTCAGGAATTACCCTGGCAGTGCTCGGGGGACCTTATGGGATGCTGGGAATTGAACCTGGGTCGGCCATGTTGGCTGTGAGCAAGGCAAACGCCCTACCTGCTGTGCTATCCCTCCAGCCCCAATCACCCCATTTTTTGATGGGGCTGGATGTTTTCTTCTTGTGGAGTTCGACCAGTGCTTTGTAAATCCTTGATGTCAACCCCTTATTAGATTGGTATTGGGTGAATATCCTTTCCCATTATGTAGACTGTCTTTGTATTTTGATCACTGTTTCTTCTGAGATGCAGAAGCTTTTTAGTTTAAGATAGTCCCATTTCTTTACCTCTGATTTCACTTTCTTGGCTAGTGGCAAGTCATCTTTGAAGATACCATTAGCTTCAATGTCGTGGAGTGTTTTGCCAACCTTGTCTTCAATGTATCTTATTGATTCTGGTCTGATGTTGAGGACTTTAATCCATTTTGATATGACTTTTGTACCTGGTGTTATGTAGAGATTTGAGCCCATTTTTTTGCATGTAGCTGTCCAGTTTTGTCAGCACAATGTAAGCTCTAAGTTTTATTATTTCTTTCCTTCTGCCTGGTTTGGGCTCCTTTTGTTGGACCTTTTCTAAGATCTTGAGCTGTGAAGTCAAGTTATCTATGTGGGTTCTTTCTTCTTTCCTGAGGAGTATTTGCAGGGCTATAAATTTTCCCCCTTAACACTGCTTTATCTGCATCCCATAGATTCTGGTAATGTCTTCTTTCACATCTGTTTCCAGGTATGTTTTTTTATTTATTTTTTTGCTTTTAGTGTCACACCTGGCGATGCACAGGGGTTACTCCTGGCTTTGCACTCAGGAATCACTCCTGGCACTGCTCAGGGGACCTATGGGATGCTGGGACTCGAACCCGGATCGGCCACGTGCAAGGCAAACACCCTACCCGCTGTGCTATCACTCCAGCCCCCTCCAGGTATCTTTTAATTTCTTCCTTGATTTCCTTCCTGACCCACTCGTTCAACATTGAGTTGTTTAATTTCCAGGTGTTGAGTTTCCTTCTCTGTGCATTGTTAACTTCTATTTTCAGTGCATCATGGTCTGAGAAGATAGTTGATATAATTTCTGTTTTCCTGATTCTATTGAAGTATGTTTTGTGACCCAACACATGGTCTATTTTGGAGAATGTTCCATGTGGACTGGAAAAGAACATGTATTCTTTCTTTTGGGGATGCAAAGCTCTATATAGATCTTTTAGCTTTCTCTCTCTCTCTCTCTCTCTCTCTCTCTCTCTCTCTCTCTCTCTCTCTCTTCTATTTCTTCCTTTACAGCCAGTGTTTTCTGGCCGAGTTTTATTCTTGGTTTTATTTTATCAACAATTTTTATTCTTGGTAATCTATCTAGAGGTTATAAATCAGTACTGAAGTCCCCATCTACTATTGTGTTGCTAGTAATGTCCTTGTTTAAATCTGTTACCAGTTGTTTTAAGTATTTAGCTGTTCCCTCGTTAGTTGCATATAGGTTTAGGAGTGTGATTTCATCCTGCTGAACATATCCCTTGATTAGTAAAAAATGGCCTTCACTGTCTCTTGTAATCCTTTTACAACTAAAACTATGTTGTCAGATACTAACATGGCCACCCCAGCTTTTTTGAGGGAGTTGTTTGCTTGAAGGATTGTTTTCCATCCTTTGACTATGAGTCTGTGTTTGCTCTGACCATTCAGGTGTGTTTCTTGTAGGCAGCAGAATTTTGGATTCATTTTCCGAATCCATTTTGCCACTCTGTGTCTCTTGATTGGTGCGTTTAGACCATTGACGTTGAGAAAGATTATTGTCACAGGGTTTTGTGCCATCTTTCTGTAGGGATTTGTTGTGCTTGTAGGAGGTTTTCTTGTGTAACAGAAGCCCCCTTATTCCTTCTTTTAAATTTGGGTTTGAGCCTATGAAGTTCCTGAGCTATTGTTTATCTGCAAAATAGTGTATGGTTCCTTTGAGTTTGAGTGGGAGTTTAGCGAGGTAGATTATTCTTGGTGAGGCATTCATTTCTTTGAGTTTTTTCACTATATCCCCATTGTCTTCGGGCTTGGGAGGGTTTCCTCTGATAGGTCTGCTGTAAATCTAAGGGGTGCTCCTTTGTATGTGATTTCCTTCTTCGACCTTGCTGCTTGTAATATCGTGTATCTATCTGTATCATCCATCACTCTGACTATGAGGTGTCTTGGAGTGTTTCTATTACGTTCTCTTTTAGCTGGCACCCTTCATGCTCCTTGGATCTGGATGCCTGCATTCTCCACCTCTGAGAACTTTTCGGCAATGATATCTTTAACTGTGGCTTTTTCATTGGGGTTGCCTCCCTGTCCTTCTGGGACTCCGATGATTCTTATATTGTTCCTCTTGGATTCATCCCCTAGGACTATGATTTGCCGTAGGGCTATTTTGAGGTCTTTTCCCATGGTTTCTTGTTGTATGCAAGCTTTATGCTGCTCATCTTCAAGATCACTGATTCTGTCCTTGGCTGTAGCCATTCTACTGTTGAGGGCACCCACTGAGTTTTTCATTTCATTTATCAATCCTTTATTCATGACACTTCTGTTTGTAGCCTTTCCATTTCTACTCTCATTTTTTCCCATATTTTGTTGACTGCCTGTTTCGCTGTTTCATTCAAGTCCTCTTTTAATTTCCTGGATGTCTGTTTCACTGTTTCTTTGAGTTCATTGAACATCTTCAACATTTTGATTCTGAATTCCTTATCGGAGAGTTCATATTTGTGAGTAGCTTCCTTTGGGGTTTCTGGACCTTTTTCTTCACCTTCCCTTCGTGGCGGGAGTTTGCGCTGTTTCTTCATGTTCTCATGGTAGTATGGAGGTGGGATCTTCCAGTTCACTATCAGTTTCCCTCTTGGTGCGATTAGGGATTCTAGGTGAGTCGGTCTCTGGTGGTCGCCTTTTTCACCTTCAGGAGTTGCAGCTTCCTCTCATGTGCTCCTCTGTGGCTAATGTGAGGCCTCTGTTGACGCTTCGGGGGATGTATTCTTTCACATTGGACTGGTACAGGTTCTTGTGTCTACGGGTTTTATGGTGCAATTGGGATAAACTAGTGGATTACTGGCCTGGATATTCTCCCCCGAATTACATGATGAATGTTGAGATATGAGTCCAAAGTGCTAGGAAATGGGAAAAATAACTGCAGCTGCGTGATTGGCCACATCCTTCAGAGGAGGCCGCGCCCTCTAGCCACGCCCCCTAGCTCAGAGGCCACGTCCCCTGGCTCCACGGCCACACCTGCAAGACAAGACAGTGCTCTGGGTCCACCAGAAGTAGAGGAGCCAGAAGCGGTGGCGGGAAAGCTGGAAGGTGCTGGGGACGGGTGGGGGCTCAGGGCACGAGTGCCACCCCGGACCCGGACCTGCTCCTCCTACCTACCTGCGGGACAAGGCCTAAAACTTTCCATTAAATAGAAAAAAGGACTGTAGATGAAGAACAGTATTTATAATTTTTAAAAGTTTATATTGTATAAAACTTTGAAAGTCATAAAACCAGGGGAGACTGTGATACTACAGCAGGTAAGGCACTTGCTTTGGATGGGGCCCTCCTGGTTCTATCCCCAGCATCTCATATGATTCCATGTGCCCACCAGGAATGATTCCTGAGCTCAGTCATGAGTAAGCCCTGGACACTGCTGGGTGTGGCCCAAGAAGAAACTAAAAACAAAGTCATAAAATCATAAATATCTATCACTTTTGGCAATGGCTGCCTCTCAGTTTGCAATTCAACTCTGACATGGTCTTTTCAAATTCCTCAGAGGCGGGGCAGAGCCCACAAGGCAGACACTGCCCAGACCATCACACTCCAGGGACCCGGCGTGACAGCAAGGGCACCTCTGACTCAGACAGCCGGTCCTGTCACACATGGATAACCACAGGTCTGTTTGTGAAGTCCACATGCTGAACACCGACAAGCTGTAAGACAGAGTTGATGGGTTTGTGATCCAACCTATTCCTGTCACGGTGTATGAAATGGATGTTATTCCCTAGAGAGAAAAAGAAGAAATGGTTAAGGTCGGCAGATAATATGAGTCATTAAGTGCACTGCTTATTAGAATTGAGGAAGCTTTGCAATTTCTTTTTACTTTTTTTTTAATTGAATCACTATGAGAAAGACCCTTATAAATGATTAGGTTTCAGTTATACAGTGTACATTCCCTCCATTCCTCCACCAGTGTACATTTCCCAGCATCAATGTCCTCCAGTTCCCTCCCATCACCCTCCCCCACCATCCTCACAGCCTGCCTCTATGGCAGGTACTTTTCTACTTTCTCTCTCTCTCTCTCTCTCTCTCTCTCTCTCTCTCTCTTTCTCTCTCTCTTTATTTACTTTTAACACTCAATTCTTGTCCGGCGTGATCATTCCCAGCTATTATCATATTGGTCTCTTCTCTATCTTACCTACCCCCCACCCCCCACATACTTGTGATTGATTCAAAACACTGAATCAACACTGAAGCCCCTGTTTTCCTTAGCCATGGATATTAGTCTTATACTATATATTTTTATACACCACCAATGAATGCAGTTATTCTATATCTGTCTCTCTCTCTTTCTGACTCATTTCACTCATCATGATATTCTCCATGTCTATCCATTTATAAGCAAATTTCATGACTTCATTTATGCCTGGCTATTTACTAATGATATATTTTACAAAATCCAAATTTACTTCATCTTGTTTGTAACAACACAAAGACAAATGTAATCATCATCTCTTAGATCAATAAGAGTCAATTTGTGATGATTGTTATATCTCACAGTAGTGTTACTAAGGTAACACCATGTCTGAGTTCTGCTGTGCTGGCTGGTGCAGCTGAGCCTTCTGTGCGTTGTTCAGGATCACTGAGATTGGTGGGCTTGTGTGCCACTTTCCTACCAGCTTTGCTATGATCCTACTGGGATGACATTACTGTGAAATTTCTCATCTCAGTCTTTGTAGTTTCTAAGAGTTACATAAGTATAGGAAAAATCATTAGAATTATGTAGCATACTGTATCTTATTAGCAAAAGAAAGATTCTAAAATCAAAGACACTTCCTTCTTTTTGTTTTCTGCTTTTTGGGTCACACCCAGCGATGCACAGGGGTTACTCCCAGCTTTACACTCAGGAATTACTCCTGGTGGTGCTCAGGGGACCATATGGGATGCTGGGAATCAAACTCGGGTTGACTGCGTGCAAGGCAAACGCCCTACTCGCTGTGCTATCGCTTAAGTAAAGATTACATCTGAACTTAAAAAAAAACTCTTCCTGGGACCAGAGTGTTAGTACAGCTGGTAAGATCTTTGCCTTGCATGTTGCTGACCTAGTTTTGATCCCCAGCACCTTATATGGTCCCCTGAGCACCACCAGGAATGATCCCTGAGCAGAGAGCCAGGACTAAGCTCTTACTACAGTCAGGTATGGCCCAAACAAACAAAATATACAAAATAAATCTTTTCCTCCTTCATTTTGTTTTTGCAGTGCCAGGGATTGAACTCAAGATTTCATATGTGTGAGACATACACTGATACACTGTAGTGAATCACACCCTGACCCCACTACCAAACTTGTAAAAAGAATTCCAGAGGCATTCTATTCAACAAACCACAGCTGATGTTCCCTGTTCCAAATATCTGAAATCACTCAGGCATGAATGGGATCATTACGTTCAATATTTATATATCAAAATACAGAAGGTATTGAAAATAAAAGATGCCTCCGGCTAGAGCACAGAAAGGTATGCTTACCTGGACCTAAAATGAGGGTTCCACCTTGTTGAGCTGGGTCTCCTTGAAAATCAAAAAGAGGGCCAGTCACTGCCCGCCACAGGCTCCGAATGCTTCCTGAGAGTATATTTGACTTGATGTGGGGGCTGTGTCCTGAAATATTAGGAGCCGTCTTTAGATATTACTATTTTATATTCAACTTGATACTAAAAAGGAAATTTTAGTACTTCCATAAAACTGCTATAGACAGATAAGTAGGGGGACCCTTGTAATGTGCTTTTGAGAAATAAAACTTAAGAGATTTTCTAGCTCTGAAGTAACTCAAAGGTATGGAGAGCACATCCTTTTAATACATATAAATTCTAAGCCCCTTGGAAAAGAAACTGAGGCAGCACCCAGCTGTAGAAACACAAGGGCCCAACCAGAGAAAGGTGGGCCTCCTCAGAAAAGGAGATGCTAAGAAGAATTCGGGAGATTATGAGAGAATAATCAACAGTGCAAGGGATGAGGTTATGAAGAGACTACCAACAGTGCAAGGCTTTCCTGTGATAACACCCAGGTTAACTTGTATGTGTATCAAACTCTATGCAGGGTGGAGGGTGGGTTAGGGCATTAGCCTTACACAAAGCCAACCTGGGTTTGGTCCCCGGCATCCTATGTGGTCCCCCAAGCACCGCCAGGAGTAATGCCTGAGTGCAGAGCCAGGAGTAACTCCTGAGCATCAACAGGTGTGACACACACACACACACACACACAAAAAAAAACAAACAACAACAACAAACAACAAAAACACCTATTTGGAAGAAATGTATAAAAGTTTCTTTTTTAAAAAAAATTTTTATTAGTGAGACATCATGAGGTATAGTTGTAGACTTAAAAATTTTTGTGTTTGGGTTTCAATTATACAATGATCAAATACCCATCCCTCCACCAGTGCCCATTTCCCACCACCACGGATCCCAGTATCCCTCCCCCCGAACCCCCACTCCCATCTCACCCTGCCTCTGTGGCAAGGCATTCCCTTTTGTTCTCTTTCTCTTATTGGGTGTTGTGGTTTGCAAAAGAGGCAATGGGTGACAATCATGTTTGGTCTATAGTCTACTTTCAGCATGCTTCTCCCATCCTGGGAGGATCCTCCCAACAACCTAGAAGTTTCTTTTGAAAGCCATTCAGGCCTGACTCTTCAAGCCTGTGCTCTCCCTTGAACGTATATCTTGCTTGCTTATTTCCACTTAAGAGAAACCTGTGTCCTTTCTTGAACATATACTTCTCCTTCTCTTTCCCTTGACATCTTATTTTTTAAATTTTAAAGAAAGTTTCTGGTCACTCCTGGTGATGTTCAGAGCCAACCCCTGGCTCGGCATTCAGGTACATTCCTGGTAGTTCTCGGAGGACCGCATGGGATGCCAGGGATAAAACCTGGTTTGGCCACATGAAAGGCAAATGTCCTACCCTCTGTGATATCTCTTCAGCCCATTTTCACATATCTTTCTAAATAAGTTCAATAAGACCTACCTTGCTTCCTCATTTCATTGCCTTCTGAAATTCTTTCCGGTAAGGAAAGGTGATGGACCCCAAATGCCTGTGTGAGTTCTGGCTCTAGGCCAGGCATTTCCTGAGAGCCTTTGGCCAAGCTGGGCTGAGCAGAGAAGTGGAAATGCTCTTCCTAAGTCTGTCTCCTCTGCTCCTGCTTTACTGAGCGGCTGGCAACCAAACATTTCTTTGTTGTAGGTTATCAAACTTTCTGCTTTTCTCTTTTTACTTCCTCTAGTGAACTCTTCTTGAAGGTTTTTCACTATTGATATTCTGGACTACAAAATTCTTCAATGAAGTGCAGGGTGTAGAGCAAATTTAGCGCCCTGCACCTAATGAATGCTGTAGCTCTGTCCACCAAATTGCTTTTGTTTGTTTTGGTTTGGGGGACACACCTGACAGTGTTCAGGAGACCCGATGTGGTGGTGGGGACTTGAAGCTGGGTCAGCCGCATGCAAGGCAAGTGACTTAACTGCTGCATTATCTCTCTAACCTGTTCACCAAGGTTTTTTTCTTGGGGTGGGGGTTGATTTGGTGTTTGGTTAGAGGCAACATCTCACAGTATTCAGGGCTTGCTGCTGGTTCTGAGCTAAGGGCTCATTCCTGGCAGGACTTGGGGGACTCTACAGGGTGCCAGCATGCAAGGCAAACACCTTCCCTGATGCACTATCTCTCCAGCCTCTCACCACTTTTTACAACCACAAATGTTTCCAGATAATGCTAAACCTCCTCTGTGAGAGGTAAGGGATACTGTCATTATACAAGGAGCAGATGTGTGGAGTGCCGGGTCACTTTAAACCCTTTCTCTCTCTCTCTCTCTCTCTCTCTCTCTCTCTCTCTCTCTCTCTCTCTCTCTCTCTCCCTCCCTCCCTCCCTCCCTCCCTCCCTCTCTCCCTCTTCCCCTTGCCCCCCCCCCTTCCAGCACTCTCTGGACTCTCTCCTTTCTCCGGTGGGGCTGTGTTCCCTGGACACAGTGCAGTACAGGCAGCCCACATAGGCCCAGACAGCAGCAGAAGACAAGTAAGGCTTGGATGCCCAGGGAAGCTCAGGGTCGGGCAGGCTTGATGCTGCCCAGGTAGTGACAAGGAGCTAAACACAGGTGTCTCACCCTCATATACGTGGCCATGGTTGGAGATTAGGAAAGCCCAGACAGAATGACAGGAACTGCTGGGGTACAGTAGGGAGGGCCAGCGACAGGCACAGAGCACTGGGATCTCGCCCACAGGCATGTGGCATGGCCAGAGATGGGAAAAGTGCACAGAGGACAGAGAGATCAGCGCAGGGACAGGACTGGGGACATCGTTCATAGGCAAAGGAGAGGCCTGGACACCTGGACAGGGACCCAGACCTACCTGAATCCATCTACTTCATCTGTACAATAAATTCTTACCTTTAATCTAATAAGTTTTGTATGCAAATCTTTCCTACAATTCTCAAGAACCCACCAGCGAGGGAAATCCGCTTTCGGTTAACATCTTAATCTCTTGACATCCCATTACTTGATTTGCTCAAGCGGGTGCCAATAACATCTTCATTCATCCCTGTCATGTGCCAGTGTAGCCTAGTGGTGTCTGCTCACTCCAGGAACACAAAGAGCCTCAAACCGTTCATGCAGGGTCTTGACGAAGAAGTCTGACCATCTCGTAGGTGGGCAGCCATGCAATGTTTTGACGTTCTGTAGAATCCAGTCTGTAACAGCTCTAGTCCAGCGGTCGACTCCAAATTGAATTGCGTGTCCAGCCCATCTGATTTTTGACGTCTTGGAAAATAAGACAGCGTCCCTGATTCTTGATCGTCGACGGAGGTCTGAACTCCAGATTCTTTCTCTCACTTGAGTGAAGCATGATACTCCAAGAACAGCTCTTTCGATTCCTTTTTGGGAGACCCGAATGGCGCTCTCATCCAGTTTTTGTAGGGCCCAGGTCTCTGAGGCATATGTTAATGCAGGAAGAACAGTGGAGTTGAAGAGATGTGCCCGGAGCCGGAGGTTCTTCATCCTCTTAGCTATTTCTTCAATGCTCTTGATGGCGTTCCAAGTCACTCTCTTCCTTCTGTGCAACTCGTCATGTTGAGTTCTTGACCTAGGTACACATAACTGTTTCATTCAGAAATATTCGTTCCATTGAGAGTGAATGGAATGTCAGGAACGAATCCATTTCTCATAACCATTGTCTTCGTGAGACTCAACTGCAGTCTGACCCTTCACACTCACGGTCGAACTTGGCCAGCATTTGTGCCACTTGGCTAATGTTTGGTGTTATAAGACGATGTCATCAGTGAAGCGGAGGTAGTGTAGTTGCCGACCGTCTATCTTCACTCCTCCTATTCCTTCCCATTCCAGTTGTCACATGACGTTCTCAAGGATGGCACTGAAGAGTTTTGGTGAAATGGTATCACCCTGCTGAACCCACCTCTTTACGCCAGTGGTCACTTCCTTGTAGAATGGTGAGATCCTGGTGGTGAATCCATAATACAGTTCACAGAGGATCCTGATGTATTGAGTTCGAAAGCCCTGTTTGGCTAGGGCTTTGATGACCACTTCCGTCTCAACAGAATCAAAGGCCTTCTTTAAATCAATGAACATTAGACAGAGCAGCATCTTGAACTCCCGAGAAACCTCAATGAGCCTGATAACTGTGTGGGTATGGTCAATCGATCGGTTAACATCATCAGTTGAGAATTAAAGCACTGTTATTAGTGCTTCAAGGAAAGAAGTGATATTAGACCTAGATCCCATTTTGCCACTCAAAAAAGAATAGTTCTGCCATCTCAAACTTTTAGTATTTTCCTTTCAAATCTCCCATGCACACTGATTAGAGTCCCACCCACTAACAGGCAGCATTCCTTTCTAACAGACATGTGACACCAGAGATGCACCTTTCCTTTTTGACCCTGTAGGTGAACTACACCTCCATCTACCCAGCAATTTGACATGGTCACATGAAGGTGAGCAAAATAGTATCACTTTTCACACCAGCTCCTAAACACCTCCCACATGTGCTTCTGTGTTCTTGTAAGCATGGGCTGAAAAGACGTTCGAGCCTGTAGAAAGCCTGTGCCCTTCCTACTGCATCCTTCCTGGACGCTGCATCTGGGTCACACATTGAATACAGCAGTCTTGCAATATAAATCAAAAGATAATGAACCTTCTACCATGTATTCTCCTGAGATGGAGGCTTAGCTGCAACAGTACAATGATAGTGACCATTCTGTATTTCCCTGGCTCTCAGTTTTCATTTTCATTCCCCACAGTGATTCGAGCTTTACTTCCACTCCCTGTGAGTAAAGCGATTCACCTTCTTTATCCTTGTATCTAATCTTGCTTCAATACTTGCTAGGCCTTGCATTTAGCTTTCTGTTTTTTGACGACTAATCCGCTTCAACCAGTCTGATTTCTTAATATTTTCAGATGTTTATTAGTTTTCATCAATCTAATGGGTCCATTAGTATGTAATTTTTTTTAACCAGCCTCTTAACTCAGACACTGTTTTCTATTATCTTAGATCAAAAAGTAATGTTCAGAAGCCCAAGCTATCTCTTTCCATTCAAGTGAGGCTCTGGGCCCAGGAAGCAGGGCAGGAACTGAGCACATGCCTTGCATCTATCTGCAAGGCTCTGGGGTCCACCACTGACACACAGCCCCACCTTAGCACCACTGCGTGTGGTCACAGGGGTACCAAGGAATCAGTGAGACTGGGCCCAAGACCCCTGCTTCACCAGGGATATCTCCCACAAAAATAAAAAGAGAAAATGAAAACAGTGGGGACCATTTAATATCCAAAGAGAATTCTAATCTGATTGATCCCGCAACCTAGAATTGAACAAGGTTAGTTGTTAAGCATAATCCCATTTGTCTAGCTTGTTTTTGGCTCTGAGGTCACACTTGGGCATTTCAGGGTCCATTCTCAATTCTGTGCTGGGGAATGGGGCTCTAAGTGACATAGAGAGGCCATATGGTGTTAGGGATGAAACCTAGGGTGTCAGCATGCAAATATGTGCTCCAGGCCTTTAAGCCAACCCCTTATTTTTCCAGCTTCAACTTTTATGTAAAACCTGCATTATTTTCTTTCTTTTTCTGGTTTTTGGTCCACACCTGGTGAAGCTCAGGGCTCACTCCTGGCTGTCCACTCAGGAATCAGTCCTGGCAGGGTCGACCATATGAGATGCCAGGAATGCAACCCATGTCGAATGGGCAAGGCAAGCCCCCTGTACTATCACTCTGGCCCCTAATCTGACATTTTTTGTTTGGTAACAATAGTATAGGGCAAATTAAAGGAACTTAGAAGATTTAAATACATTTTCTTTATGATTATAAGCATTTATTTGGTTAAGAATTTATCTGCTTTCTTTACCTGCTTTATGATTATAAGCATTTATTTGGTTAATAATTTATCTGCTTTCTATATCTTTGGGGCAACAAGTGATGGATGAGGTGTTATGAAGTGAAACTCACAGTTTATATCCAAAGCATTAAATGATAAAAAGACCTTAGCCACGCTGAGACTATTAAAGCTCAGGAAAACAAGCATCAATAGTAATTGGCTGGGAAACAGTACAGTGGCTAGGGTTAGGGTGATGCCTAGAACACACCTGACCTGGCTCAAATGTCTGCACCTGCATGGTCCCAGAGTGCAGCTCGGTGCATGCTGAAGTGGCAGGTTACTGCGTCACAGCAAGTCCAGGCAGCAGCACATCTTTGGGCCCCTGCACTGAACCACTGGTCAGACTGGCTGAGAATAGCCAGTGGAACTCCAGAACCTCCTTAGGAGATACCTCCCCTCAATCCCCGACCAGAAAAAGGAAAGCTACCAATCTGTACTGTTGTTATTTCCCAGATAAAGTGGGGGAAGGGAGCCAGCTGAACCCCAAGTTCATGACACACATCATTAGTCTGGACTAAATTTAAGATTTAAAGAAAGGTTGCTTTCTTTAAAAATATCAGTAAAGGGGGTGCTGGAGCACTTGCCAACCTGTGTTCAATCCCCATCACCACATATGGGCCCCTAAGTCCCACCAGGAGTGATCCCTGAGAGCAGAGCCCTGAGAAGTAAGTCCTGAGCACAGAGGGGCGCAGCCTCCAAACAAATGAAAGTTAAAAACAAACATCAGAAAGAGGTGGGGGTATGGCTCAAGCCTGTGCCTTATGCATGTATGAGGCATGTGTGAGGTCTGGGCTTTAGTTCCTGGCACCGTAAGTTTCTCTATGAACTACCAGCTGAGTCCCAATGACAATAGCAACAATAAAAACAGCAAAGAATCATGTCAATTCGACCTCACAAATCACTCCCAGACCCACTCCATCCTCCCCTCCACTCCAGGCCCTTGCTTCTCATTTCCCTGCAGCCCACTGGGACCTCCTGATGAGCATTCGGCTCCAGCCTGGCCAGCTCCACCTAGTCCTTCACACTGCATCTTTGATCATGTCACTTCTCTGCTTTAGACATTTGCATGAGGCTCTCAGGACCCACAGAACAAATTCTATGGCATGATTCCCCCCCGCCCTCCACACACACTATGCCATGAACTGACCACACCCTGACTTCAGTCCACACCACCTCCACAGTGGCTCCTAAACTCTGGCCACACGTGTCTGCACTTCCCAAGAGTCCTGGTTGCTCATGCCTCTCTGCTTGCAAGTGTGTGCTCCTGGCAGCAACAGCACCTGCTGGCCCCTCTGCAGCCAGCGAAATCTAGGAGAAGGCTTTCCAGATCCTTCTTTCCCCAGACATTTCTGCAAAGTTAGAGCCAGCACATATTTTTTTGGATTGCAAACCCTTAGACTCTATTACAGTTGGCTGTTTGGTTCTGTTCCTTGGAGTAGATTAAACTTCAGTTTAAGACTGCCTCTTATCACTGGCCTTGGGGTGCTTTCAATACAGATGCTCAGTACTATTTGTTGAGAGTGGATGAATTATTTGAGTCTAGCTCTCTTATTTGGTATGTCAGAAATCAAATTCTTTCTACCTAAAACACATATAAGCCATTTTAAACTCTTATAATAATAAATACTAAATATATAATTATACTAAGAGCAGGGAATGTGGACCTCAAAAGAGGCATGAGGCCAGCCCTCAGCTGGTGTGTGTAGGCTTTGCACCAGGAACGTGGGTTCCATCATCGGCACAGCACGCTTCCCTGAGGGGAGGGGCCTCCAAATAGATGAATGAGCATCAGAATCCTCCACCTGGTAGCCTTAAGCACAGTCATGGAGCACATAAAAAAGTACAAAGAGGAAAAGCAATCACTTAAGAGGTCCCAGAGTCCTGGAGTGTGCAGCTGTAAATGCAGCCACGTGACATCTCATACTATACTACTGGTATACTAGGAGTAGAACACATTGGATAGGATGTAAGGTAGAAGGCAACCGATCTCAATTAAAAACAAATATTAGCACACAAGGCTCAACCTGTAACAACATGTTAGTAATCTCTTATACAAGGGCTCAATGGCTCCAGGGTGAGATATACAACAATCTTCCACATTTTATTCTAAGAAAACCTTTTCCGATCATTTTTAGAGAATTATTCATAACAAGCACTATAAAATAAATTATTTAGGGCCTGCTATTGGGGCAGCCTTAAGTTGGGAAAATTTGAAATAATGATGGTAGGTAAGATGTAATGGTGGTGAGACTGGTGTTGGAAAACAAATTATTGTGAACAACCTTAAAAATATAAATTAAGGAAAAAAATAAAATGAAATTTGAAAAAAAAAAAAAAGAACTCCCAGAGCCGAGCTTCAGGTGAGAAAGGAGAGTTCCTCACTGGAGAACTGACAGTGGACAGTCTGTTGGAAGGTGTGGGGCTGGGGGTTTTATGTAAGGAACTATACCAGGAACAGCTTTGTAAACCACGATGTCTAAAATAAAATTTTAAAAAAGAAGAGCGCGCTGGAGTGATAGGATAGCGGGGAGGGTGTTTGCCTTGCACGTGGCCAACCGGGCTTTGATCCCCAGCATCCCATATGTCCTTCCAAGCACCGCCAAGAATAATTCCTGAGTGCAGAGCCAGGAGTAACCCCTGAGCCTTGCCAGGTGTGACCCAAAAAGAAAAAAGAAAAAAGAGGATGGAATAGACAAGGTGTTGGTGCTAAATTATGAAAACATACTAACTATGCAATATTGTTTTACTTCTAGTTCCCAAAGTAAAATATAATCATTGCTTGAAAAAAAAAACCATAACAACAGCAGCAAAAGCCCACCACTTTTCTCATTCCCATAATCTTGGGATAACTGCAGTATTTTAAAAGTCTTTTTCACCACACACATCCATCCATACCACAGTCCTTTCTGGGGAGCTGGGTGGGATGGGAGCTAAGTCAGACCTGACAGTGCTGCTTACCGTGGGCACACTCAGGAAAACGCTTAATGCTTGTACTGTCTCCTAAGCCCTAGATTTCATGTTTACAAAAGTTACGTTTATTTTCACAAAAGAAGGTAGCCATCCTGAGTACACTGGAATCAGTTTGGCTTTTCCCATCCATTTAGGGTTTCCCAGGCTTTCACACCATTCCACCTAGGAAATGAGTTTTTTGGGGTCTAAGTGTGTGAACCACTTCTAGAACCATGATTTATGAACTTACTACTTGTTCCATCTACCAGGTGTGAAAAGGCACCGTCAGGCCATTCTGGAAGACTGTCATGTCTTACCTGAGGCAGCAATTTCTTCACCTCTTTTCATCCCCAATCTCTTGTAAATCTCTCTTTCGGGATCAACATAGATTTCATAAGAATACCCAGTCAGTTTGCAGAAAGACTGAAATAAAAATTTTTAAAAATGATTTTTTAAGAGTATGAAAGAACAGTAATCATAATCTATTTTAAAGCGATTTTAAACTATAATTAATGGTTAATTTTTATATCTGAAACATTTAATTTGTTAATTTCTTGATGTGTGATAAGTTACCTCAATATGATGATATGATGACTGTCCAATTACTATAAGAGAGACATTTGCTTCCTTTAAGGGAAAGAAAAGGACATACACATGTCATTAGAAATGAAATGTTTCCTACAATTCTCCCCACTCAACCCTTGCTCCGTTTAAATCCCACTACAGGATTCTAAAAGAATAGTTCAAAGAATAAAATTAAGCCAAAATAACATATATTAAAATTTTCAATTAATTAATTAATTTAGATATCTTTTGCTAAGAATTTTAAATGGTCGTTAATTCACTTTAGTTTCTCAACGGTATAAATTAAAGAACACTATTACAGCAGGGGTACTGAATTAATCAATTTTATTTTCCACATCCCAACTGAGTCTGCTGGAGCAAAGCGGCTGCTTCCTTAAGGACTTACTTGCAGGAAACTCTTGGGGATCTTGGCCAGGTCTTCCACGTATTCCTTGCAGATGTAACACAGGAAATGCTAGAATCCCGACAGGGCACGGAAGGGAGAAGCCACGTTAGCGTCCGACTCCACCAAGTCTGCAACACGCGCTGCCAAGCCACCTCGTGGTCCAGGAGGGTGGAAGGCGCCCGGGACACCAGAGCTCGCGGACTCGCGGCCACACCCGGGTAGGGGACAAAGGCGCCCGGAGGTCGGAGCTCCGGGGCACTGGGTGTCCCGCGCGCGGGAACACAGGGAGAACCGGAGCGCGTGGGCTGGGCACGGGCACACCCGGCGCGTGGGGACACGGGAGCACCGGAGCGCGTCGGCTGGGCACGGGCACACCCGGCGCGAGGGGGTACGAGGGCGCCGGAGCGCTTGGGCTGGGAGCGGGCACTCCCGGCGCGCGGGAGCACGGAGAGCACCGGAGCGCGTGGGCTGGGCGCGGGCACTCTCGGCGCGCGGGGCTCGGCCGCTCCTGTCCCGCGCGCGGAAACCGGGCCGGCCCGGTGGCCTCCGGGGGTCGCACGCTCCGCGCCCCGGGCAGGTGGCGCGCAAAGGGCCGGGCCTGAGTCCCTCGGCCCCCGCGGCGGCCCACTCACCCGCACGAACACCACCACGGCCCGGCGCTCCCGGAACAGCGCCCCGAAAGACAGCTGTCTGCCCGCAGCGTCCAGCACCGGGAGATCGGCCACGGCGGAGTCCAGCGGTTGCCCGCGCTCCGGGCCGCGGGGCTCGGCCGGCTCGGCGACCCCGAGGACCTGCTGAGTGACCGGGGTCCCGGCAGTGGACATCGTGCAGCGACCGGCCGCGGGCACCGAGTGAACAAGACGTTGGGCCGGGCTGGGCCCAGCGGGAGGGGTGCGGGCCGCTGACCGGGTGGGCGGTGCCCAGTGGGAGTGACGGGGGCGGGCGGGGCGCAGCAGCAGCGGCGGGCCCCGGACGGGTGGGCAGTGCCCAGCGAGGGTGCTTGGTAGGGGTGTTGCAGCGGCAGGGGGTGGGTCCGGGTTGGGGTGGGCGGTGCCCAGTGCGGGGTACGGGGGGCTTGCAGCAGCAGGGGCGGGCCCGGGAAGGGATAGGCGGTATCCAGTGGGGGTGCTGGCGGTGGGGGGGAGGGGAGGGGTGGGGTTGAGCGGCAGGGTGCGGGCCGGGGACGGGGTGGGCGGTGCCCAGTGGGGGTGATGCGGCGGGGGAGGGTCGGGGAGGTGTGGGGGCGGTCGCAGCCCCTGGGCGGAGCTGGCCGGCAGCCCGGCTCTCCTGGGCAGCCCTGCGGCCTGGATTCAGTATCGGCCACAAGCACTGGCGTCCTCAGCCCCTCCGGGACACAGGAGCAGAGAAAGGAAACAAAACGAAGCAAACTTGGCAAAAGAAATAAACCCCGCATACGGCCCCTCTTAGCAGCTGCCCTGTGCCCTGGATCGTTTCGAATTGTTGCAGGAGATACATAGGGGGCCTGCGAAGAAGCTTTTCAGAGCTAATAGAGCGAGAAGAAATCGCTCTGTCCTGAAGCCTCTGAGGCCTTAAGGACACATCTTTTTGAGATGCGAATCCTGAGCTTTTTGGAGTTGGAGAAACTGAGGCACCTCCCAGAGAAAGGTGGAGCCCTCAGCAGAGGGCCAGAGCCGCAGAACCTTAGCACAGCGGGAGGGCGCGGGCCACGCACGCGCGCCTGAGTGGGGTTGAAAGGAAAACCGTGTCAAGTTACCAAAATGCTGCTTCAGCTCAGCTCTTGCAAAATTCTCTTCAAAATTAGAGTAGAGCAAATAATTATTGCCAAAGTAATGTAATAACAATCAATAAGACTTTCCTAGTCCAGTTGGAAGTGGCCGAGTGCTTGAGAGCAGGAAAATCTGTTGCTGCCGTAAGTGGCAATTCAGTGCCATAATTGAACCAGTTTTAAATGGACTCATTGTCTGCAACTTGTTTGGAGAAGAAAAATACAAACATAAACAAATGAAAGAAGAGATTCTAAGACACAGTATACACTTAGGGGTCAGAATGCAAGTTCAGAAACTAGCTCAGTTTAAACCCTTGTGTTAATCATGTATCCTCAGCCCAAAGCTTTCAGTTCCATACGCCTATCATCGTATGTATATTTGGCTACAGGAATTCAGTGAGATATCTTGAAAACAAACCTGTGTTTCAAATACTGTGTGTTATTTCAGCAGCAGACAACTAGCATGTTACTTGTTAAACTCCCAGGAAAGAAGTTAAACCAGTTTAAAAACAAGCCTGTACTGTCATACCTTAAATTTCATTCCTAGCATTCAACCTATTTTACAAATATTTGATACTTTTCCTAATAAAGGTAAAAGGTAAAGGCCCTCCCGTTGATCGTCGATTTGCTCGAGCGGGCCCAGTAACGTCTCCATTGGAGATTTTGTTGTTACTGTGTCTGGCATATCAAATACTCTTGGTAGCTTGCCGGGCTCTCCGAGAGGGGCGGAGGAATCGAACTCGGGTCGGCCATGTTGGCCGCTTGTAAGGCGAACGCCCTACCCGCTGTGCTATCGCTCCAGCCCTAATAGGAAATAACAATTGCTTTGGTACCCCTGATTTAAATACTTGTAGAAAAATATATGCTTTATTATTTTCACAGCAAATGTATAAAATCTAAACAATATAACATCAGACAATAATATTCAACAGTCTAAGATTCTCTTAGTAAATAAATCTTTACAATTATATCTAAAAAACAGAAATTAGATGAAGAATTCCGTTGGAGAAAGCCTATGGTCAGGACCATGGCTTTTCTGCCCTAATTTCACAACTCAGAGAAATAGAAGAGAAGCAAAGACTAGAAAAGACGTTCTAGGGCCCGAGTAACAGAACAGCAGAAAGGACGCTTCCCTGGCACGGAACTGACCTGGACCGATTCCCGGCATTCCATATAGTCCCTGCAGCATTGCCAGGAGAAGTTCCTGAGTGCAAAGCTGGGAGTAACCCCTGAGCATCATCAGATGTGACTCCCAAACATAACAAATGAAAGAAGACACTCTAAGACACAGTATACACTTAGGGATGCAAGTGTGCTCAGACAGCAGGCTGCCTTGTTTTTGAGTAAAACAGTTTACTCAAAGTAGTGGTCCACATTCTAAGCTCAGAACAATGCATACAGAGGTCCCAGCACTCTTTGTACATAGACTATATTTTATATGGGTATAGAAATAGGGCGCCCTTAGGGGTGGGATAAGCACATTTTTTTAATTGAATCACTGTGAGTTACAGTTACAAAACTTGCATGTTTGAGTTTCATTCATATAATGATCAAATACCTATCCCTTCACCAGTGTACATTTTCTACCACCAATGTCCCCAGTATCCCCCAAACCCAGCCCCACCCTTCCTCTGCCTCTATGGCAGACGATTTCCCCCATACTCTCTACTTTTGGGCTTTATGGTTTGCAATATAGAAACTGAGAGGCTATTACATTTGGTCCTTTATCTATTTTCAGCATACTTCTCCCATCAGAGTGATCCTTCCAACCATCACTGACTTAGTGATCCCTTCCCTAACCCAGCTACCTTCTCCCCCAGGTCATAAGGCAGGCTTCCAACCATGGAGCAATCTCCCTGGCCCTTGTCTCTACTGTCCTTGGCTGTTATGTTATGTCCTTGGGTGTTATAACATAATATTAGTCTCATATTATGATATTTTCTACTCCACAAATGAGTGCAGTCATTCTATGTCTGTCCCTCTCTTTCCGACTCATTTCACTTGGCATGATACTCTCCATGACCATCCATATATAAGCAAATTTCATGACTTCATCTTTCCTAACAGCTGCATGATATTCCATTGTGTAGATATACCAAAGTTTCTTTAACCAGTCTTCTGTTCTTGGAGCATTTGAATTGTTTTCAGATTCTGGCTATTGTGAACGGTGTTGCAGTGAACATACAGGGGATAAGCATAATTTTTAATGCAAGCAGGAGAATTCAGGGATGAAGATTTCCTGAAATAATGATATATACCAGATTCTGACTATACTAGGTGATTTCTTAGGGAGTTTCCATGGTAATTGTAAACTGTTATGATGCATGTAGGTGTGACTTTTATTATGCAAAGTATTTTAATAAGCATGCATGGGAGCTTAAAGTTGCCTATGTATTGTATGTTTCTCATCTCTTAGATTCTCTTGGTTCCAACTAATCCCAGATACCTCTCAGGGTATTTAATATCTATAGCATTAATTCTAAGAGCCAGAGTGATAGTACAGAGGGGAGGGCATTTGCATTGGATGGGGCCAAGCTGAGATCAATTCTTGACATCATATATGGTCCCCTGAACGCCACCAAGAATAATTCCTGAATGCAGAAGCACGGGTAATCCCTGAGAATTGTCGATTGTGACCCTCCAAAAAAAGTCCCCCAAATCTATAGCATTAATTGTCTTGAGAAAAACATCATGTGATTCATCTACAGAATGGGTATAATTTCAAAGAAGTGATGATTTCTGAATGAGAGCATTTCTTTTACCAAGATTACTAACTCTTCATATAACTCTATTTTAGGTCATTCATACATTACTCTTCACACTGGCCATTTTCCTATCTCCATTCTAAATATGACAAAGCATCAGAAGAGGGGCTTAGGGCTGGAGAGATGGTTTGGCATTTTGAAAGGCACCTTGCACGTGGCTGATCTAGATTCAATTTCCACATCCTTAGGGTTCTCTGAGCCTGGAGTGATCCTTAAGCCACTCCTCTCTCCAAATAAACAAACAAAACAAAAAGTAGCTGGGGACTCAGAATGAGTGCAGATGGTTCAGAATGATAAAGGACTGAATGGACCCAGGGCAAGCTGTGAGTTACCCTGGCATCGAAATGGGCCAGGCCAAAGCGCCACGATACTCAACTATAAATTGAGGGCATGATCATGGACAAATGCTGTCATGATCCAAAGTAAGTAACAATGAGACTAGGACCCTGCTGGGGCTAGGAAGACTAACCTGGCCTGAGGACTGCAGAATGTCTAATGAGATGTTTATATCTCTTACTGTGCTCACACAGAATGACATTGCTAGAAATATTAGAAGTAGATTTACTACAACTAATTAAGTACATTACTAGCTGAGGAAGGAACACACCCTTATTAAGATCCCACCCTTGAGCTGATCTCCTAGTAATCTGGAGTAATCTCTTTAGATGAGATTTTATCCTTGAGTTAATCTGGAGGAATGGTCTTACCTCTCTTGGTTGACTTGTTAATGTTCAACTTACCTTTGTGTCACCGCCTTACGTGATTGCTATATAAACTAAGACTATAAGCTTGGAAAAGCAGAGTCAGAAGTGAGAGAGCTCAGGCTCCAGAGATCCAGAGTCAGAGTCAGAAGGAGAAGGGGTTCCAGATTGGGCCCAGGACAGAAGGAGGCAGAGGAGAGACACGAGTGAAGAGGATTGGAATAAACTACAATTGATATCGGCCAGCCTGGCCCTCGTTTCTTCCTTTGTCTGCCTTTGGCCAACAGCCGTTCCAATCCAGGCCACATACAGCGGCTCAAGAACACTGAACGGGCGGTGAGAAAGAGCCATCCAGAGAGCCCACCACACACAACCTTCAGCGTGCTAAGATTTTACAGCTGTGGATTTGGGGCTGGAGCAATAGTACAGCAGGTAGGTTGTTTGCCTTGCACAAGGCCAAACCGGGTTTGATCCCCAGCATCCCATATGGTCCCCAAAGCACCACCAGGAGTAATTTCTGAGTGCAGAGCCAGGAGTAATCCCTGAGCATCACCGGGTGTGACCCAAAAAGCGGAAAAAAAAAAAAAAGAAAATGTGAATTTGATTTCTGGCACAGCATGGTCCTTTAGCTTTTTTTTTTTTTTTTTT